CCCTGCCGCGCCTACAGCCTGCCCCTCGCGCCGCAGGCATCGAGGAGCTGTGCCAGAAGCGCGAGGAGCTGTGCCGGCAGATCCAGCAGGAGGAGGAGGAGAAGCAGCGGCTGCAGAACGAGGTGAGGCAGCTGACCGAGAAGCTGGCCCGAGTCAACGAGAACCTGGCGCGCAAGATCGCCTCTCGGAATGAGTTTGATCGGACCATCGCGGAGACGGAGGCCGCCTATCTCAAGGTGGGCTCGGGCCTGGGCGCCCCAAGCAGAAGTGACAGGACGTGGCCGGGCCAGGCCCGCGGGGGTGATGGTGTGGCTGTCCGTGGAGCCTCGTGCTCTGTCCTGGAGCAGCGAGTGGCAGCAGGGGCCAGAGCTAACGCGCTTTCCTGGGTGTGAGGGAGGGGCTTTGGGCTAGACTCTGGGGTGGGAGGTGGCAGGGCTGCCTCTTGGCTGCCCCTGTCCCACAGTCCCCCAGGACTTGGCTATGGGAGCTTCCAGCAGGACCCCGTGTGTCTGTCCCCAGATCCTGGAGAGCTCGCAGACTCTGCTTAGTGTCCTGAAGAGGGAGGCGGGCAACCTGACCAAGGCCACAGCCTCGGAGCAGAAGAGCAGTGCAGGCAAGGACAGCTGACCAGCTGCAGGTGGGCAGGGCACCTCCACTGCTTCCTCGACAGGCCCGTCCCCAGCAAGCCTGCCTGCGAAACGCCTTGTTCATGGCAGCAGCTGCCTTCAGGTGGCAGCCCCCAGCCTCACTGCCCCGGGTACAGCCTCCCGGTGGGGTCCAGTCCATGCACTCGCCCAGGCAGTGGGGGTGCGGGCTCTGGGTCAGCTCTGCTCGGGCCTGAAGCCTCACACCCCCCTGGACTGCAGGACAGCCCTGCTGCTCGTCCCGGCTTCACGGGAGTCCCCTCACGCTCCTCAGCCAGCAGGTGCCCAGGCAACGGGCAGGGGTCTCCTTCACCTCAGAGCTTGCCCTAGTGGCCTGTGACTGTCAATAAAGGTTGTTTTTATAAAGATCCATGCCCCCCTGCTGCCTGTGTTCCGTCAGGAGAGGGGCTCCTCTGTGGGGAGGGCCTCTGCCCTGGGAGACACCTGAGGGTGCCCCTGAGCATCTCCCATGACCCTCACACCCACCCTCATTCCTGGCCCTTCCCGACTCCAGCACACGCAGCCTGTCCTTCCCCGAGGGCTCTGCCTGCTGGTGCTGCTCCCTGGCACCCCTGGTGTCTGCACAAGGCCTGACCTAGGGAGATGTCCTGGGATCCAGTCGCCCAGCAAGGACTGCCTCAGCTCTGATTCCAGATCCTGCTCAGCCCGATGGCCTCACTGCTCCCCACCTTCCCTGGCCGCCCACCAGGCATGCCCTCTCTGGCTTTGCGGGTGCCTGGTGTCCCGCCCTCATCCTCTCTAGGTCCATCTGTCAGCCCGTCAGGTCCCGCGGCTGCTTGCGGGGAGAGTGGGGAGGTTGGCAAGTATGTAGGTTGAGAGTCCAGAGACACCAGGCCTATCCCCCCCAGGAAAACACTCCTCCCTCCCAAGCCCGGGCTCCCCAGGGGGACAACCTCCCACTCAAGATGTGGACTAAGTGGCCCTGGCTCCCGGATACAGCTGGGCAGGCAGCCGAGCCCAGCCTGGGGCTGCTCCCAGCAGGCAGCTCTGCATCTCCCTCACCTCCCAGGACCCGCTGGGTTCCCCTGCCAGCTGCTAGCACCTGCCCCACGGGAGCTCCAAGGCGCCCTCCCTTTGGTCCCTCCCCAGGTTCTTGGCCCTTCAGGGAAACCGCTTCATACCCAACATCCACAACACCCAGCCCACCGCATGCCGTCCCGGCCCCTGGGTCCAGAGTCCAGCCCGAGAGCAGGCCCACTGCCAGTGCTGGTGGGAGGGGGTGCCCCAGAGGTGAGGCCTGCACGGGGAGGTCCCTCTCCTGGGCATGGGGTGGCTGGGAGGGCAACGGGCTGTGGAGAGTGAGAAGCAGCCCTGCGAGGTGTGGGGGTGCCCCCAGGCACAGAGGTCCAGGCTGGGCCCCATCACCCTATGTGGGCTCCTCTCCGCTGCCAGCACCCCAGTGGAGCCGAGCCCCCTTCCCGGTGAAGGACCATGCGAGGAGGCGGCGGGTCCAGTGCTGTTTATTGAGTCCATCAGAGGTAAGAACAGATTTCCGTTCATCACAAAGGCGGCTGAGCTCAGACATGGGGTGCGGGGGCTGAGGGGGCCTGTAGTCCTTCAGGGGACAGGCAGCTGAGTCAGTTCTTTGACCTGGACACACCCAACAGTCACTGGGCATGGCTGCCAGCAGGACCCTGCCCCCAATCATGGCTGCAGGGCAAGACCCCCAGGGAAGGAGTGGCCTCTGGTGGCCCAGGCTCGGGCATGGTTCTGAGGCCCCAGGAAAGGAGTGGGCTTCGGGGGAGCAGAGCTGGTGGGGCAGAAGGGGGTCTGCAGAATGAGGGTGGAGCTTGGCCGTCCGGGGGGGACTGGCGTCAGAAATACAGGGCTGGCTCGCTGCGGAAGTCCGACAGGTCGTTGTGGCTGGCGGGGGTGAGCTGAGGGGTAAGAAGCCATCAGAGGGGCCACCCAGGCCTTAGAAACCTGCCTCCACCCAATGCTGGGCACCCTCCCGGCTCCACTCACCATGACCTCCTTCAGTGAGGGCTCCACCTCCCCCGGGGCCTGTGCCAAAGGCTGCTCCTGCCACTTGCTGAAGGCCATGGAGTGCTTTGGAGTGTAGCTGGACAGGCCTGCAGGCCAAGGGCACACGTGGATACATGAACGTGTGGACGTGGCCCAGGCACCGACTGGGCTGTCCACCTGGCCCGGCAGGCACTCACCTGAGCTGCCGTCTGGCAGGCGAGGGCTGTCGGGCACCACGCTGTGCACGAAGGTGGCTCTGGGCAGGAAGAGCGCCAGGGGCTTCTCCACTGCCCCATTCAGGCCGGAGCCGCCCTCCTCCTCCTCCTCCTCCTCTTCCTCCTCCTCGCCCTCGGCCTCCGCCTGGGCCTCCTGCACCAGGGAGCTCTCGGACGGGTACTCAAACGTGGTGTGCAGGCTCTTGTCATTGAAGGAGATCTTCATCTGGGGGCAGAAGGCACATCAGCCAGGGCCTGCGCCGCTACCAGATGCCTGGCCACCAGGGTCCTCCCGCTGGACCCAGGGGCACCATGACCCCCCGGAGCACAGGGGGCTGTCAGACCTGAGCTGGGCAGGACATGCCATCAGCCCTTCAGAGGCTGAGAGATGGGGGCCCCCCTCATCAAAGAAGACCCTCCACCTGAAGTCTGCAGGCCCCCAGGCCCAGCCAGCACCCTCGGGGTCTCCAGAAGCCTCTGAGGCAGCTCACAGGGTCAGAGGGCACCTTCTCAGGGACCAGAGGGCTGGCCGCGCATAGGAGCAGAGTCCAGGGCAGGCTGCTCAGGCCCCACCTCCTCTGCTCCTAGAAGAGCTCCTGCTGCTGGCTGAGGCCTCTCTCCAGAGCCAAGGTCATAGGGTCCAGCTTGTGGGCACCTGGACACGCTGCCCACCCAACTCGGCACGGACCACCGCTGCTGGGCAAAGCCAGGCACACCCAGGGCCAGGTCCCCGGGGCCAGAAAGCCAGGGGCTGCCGCACGCCAGCACCAGGAGAGCAGCCCCAGGTGCCGTCACCCATTTCACAGACTGAGTCAGTGCGTCAGTGCCAGTCAAGCGCCAGTGCAGGGTCAGTGCCCTGTCCTCCCTGCCCCCTTCGCAGACTCCAGAATTCACACCAGAGCTGAAAGCCCCCAGGCCTGCTGGGCATGGTGGGCCGCCCGGTTGGTAATGAATACTCGGCCGCCCGCCCGCAGCAGATGGAAGCAGCCCTGCTGGAGCTCGAAATATTAAACTCCCGGGCACAGGACACCAGCCGCCAGCTCAGGTTCCCCTCCTCCCCTGGAAGGAGCCGGAGCTGGAGCCGGCCCCCAGCACAGAGCCGTGGGGCCCAGGGACAGCAGGACAGGCGGGGCCTCAGACACGGGCAGGACCACCAGCGTTCAGGACCAGGGCACACACACTGCCCGCTCCCCCCTCCTCCCTCGGAACCCTGCTCCCCTGGCACCCCACCCGCCCACCCAGCTCTGGGCTCCCCAACTCCGCCTGGCTCATAGACACCTGCTGGGCAAGGCCAGGCCTGGCCCACTGCCCCTCGCCCAGCCACCCACAGACATGGGCAAGGGCAGAGCCAGGAGTGAGACTGCTGCTCCTGTCCCTGGGAGCCAAGGGCACGGCCTGGCACGGTGATCAGCAGAGCCCACAGACGTCCACCTACCGCCAGGCGGCTTGAGGATGGCGCCTAGCCCTCCGAGAGATCCCCCAGGAGCCCCAGGCAGGGACCAGGGCTCCCAGTCACCCCAGGAACATGGTTTGTCTCTGAAGACCCTGAGTCCTCCAGCCCATCCCCCCTGCTGAAGACACAGGCCGGATTAGCGTGCCCTCATTAGTCCACATGACTTGCTCCTAGCGGGAGGCTGGGGGCTGGGCGCATGCAGGCCCGAGCCTGGCACAGGCTGGCCGGGTGGGGGCGGGGCAGTGCTCACAGGCCCCTCCAGTCTCCAGGATCCTCACCAGCCCCCCCTCTGTGGGTGCCTGTCTTCAGGTCACAGGATGCCCCGTGACTCATGCTGCTGGGGGGCCACCCCCAGACGCCAGGAGGCAGGAGGGAAGTGAGGGGCTGGCACTTGCACACACCCAGTCACCTGTCTCTGGGGACTTTGCCCGCAGCCAGCCGGCAGGTGGGTTCCGGCTCACCCGCCTCCCACTCTCACTGGGCCTTTGTGCCCCTGGCCCCGCCCACCCACGCACAGCCACCCTGGACTCTGGGCTGACTGGGCTCAACCAGCCCCAGCTGGGATGAGGGCCCCACCCTCACTCTCCACACACCTGTTGGGTCCCATCCCCCACCCAGCCCAGGTAACTCTCACAGCTGGAGGGTTGCCCCTGAGTCCAGTGCAGCCCTAGCCCAGGGCCGATCCCCTGCGGGCGGGGTGGGGGGGGGTGAGGGAGGGGAAGCTGAGCAGAGCAGGGTCCAGACCTGCCCCGGGTCTGGGTTCTAGGGCGACCTTAGGGGAACACCTGCAGGAAGCTGGGTGGGGTGGGCAGGGAGGATGAGAGGCAAAGCCAGGCACCTGGTATCCCGCCCCACATGGCAGGAGGGTGTGGGCTGCACCCTGGCAGGGAGGTGGTAGGAGTGGTACCTCGGGTCTGAGGGCCAAGGCCACGCCAGTGGGTTGGGGGGTTGGGGTGGCGGTCACCAGCATGAGGTGAGGGCAGGGGACCAGCAGGTGAGGAGATGGAGAGAAAGAGGAGGGAATGGAGCCAGCAGACAGGCAGGAGCCGGGCCTGGCGGCACCTCACAGAGGGGAGGCCAGGGGATCCCATGGGAGGCGGCGGAGCGCTCAGGGCCAGCCCCACCCGTGGCCTGGGGCCGGCGGGGTGAGGGATCAAGGCCGCAGCCCGGCAGCAGCCACCCCTGGTCCCTCAGGGAGAGCGATAGAGCATCTGTGATTCTGCAAAGAGATAACTAAGTGGGGACATGTGCCCGCCAGGCAGGCCTCCCGGTGCACCCAGGGCAGAGCTGGAGCCCTCTGAAGCCACACAAGGGCACAGCACCCTCCAGGAAGGTGCCAGCCAGGGGCAAGCTCCCCAAACCCTGCTGCTCCAAGAGCCCCCTCGAGATCCACCGAACCCGCCCTGGAAAAGGCACCACCACCTCCCTCCACTGCCCAGGTCAGCAGCCACTTGGGGGTCAGAGTGTGCGCGGTCAGCCCCAAGATCCTCCAGGCCTGCAGCCCACGGTGTCCCCGCAGGGGATGAGGGAGCAGGGCAGTGATCACACCACAGGCTGGCTGGAGTGGTCGAGGTGAGGACAAGGCCAGTGGCCCAGGGCCTGAGGGGCCCCCAGGGACCACAGACAGAAGAGATAGGGGCAGCTCAAGGCTGATGGGGTGCTCTGAGAGCTGGGCAGCCCCACCCCCCAACCCAACCCACCCTCCATCAGTCTGGCCCTTCCTGGGCAGGGCAGCTGGGGCAGCCCAGGCAGGAAGTCGCTGCCAGCAGGTTGCGCTGCTCCGGCAGGGCACCAGCCAGGCCACTCGGTCATGCCAGGCATCATCCATCTGGACCAGGACCCCTCAGGATGGCACAAAGCCCAGATTGGCTTCCGTGGATCACTTCTTCCTGCCCTGCTGGCCCTAGGCCCCGGCCTTCCCTTCTTCACCCACGAGCGACCCCCACGCTCTGTGTCCAGCTGGGGGTGGGCTGAACAGGCTCCAGGCTGCAGCCTTCCAGCCCCAGGCAGGAGCCAGGCTCCACACAGCTCTGGGGACGGGACCACCCATGAACCCATGACCTCACTGTCATCTACAGAGCAGGGAGTGCTTTCACTTCCAATTCTAGTGGAGGTCAAGGGTCAGAAAGCAAAGGAGGGAGGGGCAGCGAGGGCCTGCCCGTATCAGGTGGGGCTGGTGGCCATGGCTACTGGGTGGATCCTCGGCTACTGGAAGGACAGCAGGGAGGGGACGGGAAGGGCCGGGGGGATCGTGGCCTGAGGCCCCAGGCGTGGGTGCCTGACCCAGCCCTGGGAGCTGGCAGGAGCGCAGGTGCCCTCACAGGGAAGGAGGGGAGGATGGCCCCAGGAGGAGAGGCAATGCCAAGGCCACGCCAGGCAGCAGACAGAGGAGGGGGCCTGTCCAGGGAAACTGGCTGGAGCAGAGGGGCCTCAGGGCCCTGGAGCCCAGCAGCTGAGGGAGAGGCCATCACTGCCCGGGTTCCACAGGAAGGGCATCTGCCCGCTGCCTGCCAGAGGGTCACGGGAGCTGGCCTGGAATTTGCCTCCGGGCCGACGCAGGTGATCGAGTGACCAGAAGAATCTGAGGAACGTAGTCCTGTGCCCAGAGGGTTCCAGGCCACCAGGCAGGGCAAGGCTTAGGGAATGAGGCTCCCGCCCTGTATGGGTCTCTGTCCTCGGCCCTTGCCCCCAACAAGGTGGGGTGTCCTCACCTCTCCCAGCATCACCCCCCAGCTTCAGACTGAGCCTGCACACCAGGAGCTCCGGAAACACTCTCCCAAGACCAGGTCCCACTGAGCGCGGGCTGGGTGCCTTCTGGGGGGCTGAGAGCCCCTCAGCTGACCGGGGAGGCAGAGTTCCAGCCCCTCGAAAATCACAGTCCCCCGCCGGCCTGGCACTTGCCGCCTGAATCGGCGGGGAGTCCAGGTCATGCCGGGCCACCCGCTGTGACCCGGTGGCCAGGTGGAGCCACTGCTCTCCAAGCTGGACCTCTGGAGACAGCCCTGCCCGCCAACTCCAGGCAAAGCTCAGAACCAACACAGGCGCGGGCTGGGCCGACCCTGCACACAGCCTTCCGGGCCGAGGAGCAAGCTGTGCCCACAGCCCCTGTGTGCTAGGGCTCTACTGGGGCCCAGGTCAGGGATCCCCCAGCCCCAGCTCTCCTCTGGTCTCCATTGAAGCTGTCCCCCTCCCAGGCCAGGTGTCCTGGCTGGTGACCCCCCCCCCCCCCCACGCACCTTCTTTCTCGAGGAGCCAGCCTTGGTGAGGCAGGACTTCTGCAGGGCCAGGTAGCCGCCAATCACCTCAATCTCGTGCACGGTGGGGTAACGCTTCTTCAGGCCGGTCCCCAGCACAGCAGGGGGCTCCGACAGGGGGTCCACCTCCACTTCCTCAGCCTCCAGTGGCCCGGGCTCCCCATTGGCCGGCAGGACCCCTGGCTTCCTCTTAGGCACCACCGTGAAGGTGTTGCCACTTTGGTGCAGGAGCTCCGATGTATGGTACCGGGGAGGCCCCCTGGCCCCGGAGCAGGGCAGTTTGGCTTCTTGGGGGACCTCATCCTCCGAGTCCACCTCATCGATGAAGGTGACGGGCAGCCCTGGCCTTCCGGGCTCCCCGCCATTCTTGGCCAAGCCGGACACCCCGAAGCCCTGGGAAGGCTCAGCTTCGGCGGCTGCCGGGAGGGATGGGGGCGGCGAGGATGGCCTCTGCCACCTGACAGCCTGGTCCACTAGGGCAGTGGCTGGCCTGGGGCAGGCCCCCTCCTGGACCCCCAAGGGGCTCCTCTCTCCCACAGGTGCACCGTCAGCTCCAGGCACCGGCTGGGCTCCGCGCTGAGGGCGCTGGGAGGCCCTGACGGCCTCTCCCTCTGGCAGCCGCACAGGCCGCCTCCCTTGGGGCGGAGGGGCCCCGGTGGCCTTGCGCTTGGGGACGAACACGAAGGAGTTGCGGGAGTTCACACGGAGACTGGCCAGGGCCCGGGCCTGCAGGTCCCCCGCGGGAATCGTGTCCATGTCGGGCTTGGAGGCCGGCCGTATCTCGAAGGAGTCGTTGGCGCTGGTGGCCGAGGAGACCCAGCGGCGCTGGCTGGGAGTGGCACTGGCAGGGCTGGGCCTG